TTCAGCTATGATTAATTTTTCCATACCTTCTTCATAATTATCTGTAAAATTTAAAACAATAATATGTTATATAATAAATTTTAATTTACTAATAATAACTTGTAAAATGTACTATAAATAGGAAAAAGTGTTCAAAACTTTTTTTACTATATAAGTTCTTAATATAACAATTATAAATATAATAATTAACTTTTACCTGCTCTGCCAAAAATCCTTTTCACTGGTAATACTTCCCATTCAACATTTTGTGGCATTTCTCTTGTTATTATTGCTTTATTTATTCTAAATTTACTTTTAAAATGAGTAGGCCAAATACTTGAACGTTTATCTGCATTGTACCACAATGCAGGTATTAGCTGAAGTCCATCGTTAAATTCCGCAATGACATAATCGGTATTCATTTTTCTTTACAATGCAAAATATGTATATGTACTGAAGCATATAAAACATAAATGTATGTTCATATGTATACAACAAAATATATGTAATATATATATATATATATATATATATAAAGAGAGAGAGAGAGAGAGAGAGAGAGATTGATACAAAAATAATCGCATTTTTATTATGTGTGATTTAAAATCATTTTACATCGTATGGTTTAAGGGAAATACTGCGAATGTATTAGGTTTATTTGCAAGAGGAATTTTCCATACTTTACAGAGCACATCTGTAATTGGATAAGAGAATATTTCATCGCTATTGAGCATCATCACTTTTATACCAAGCTCACTTGATTCACAAGGTATTTTATATACATTATTTACATATGTGAGTTTTTTAGCAATTACAAAATATTTTCATTTTGTTTCACTATATTTAAAATAATAATATAACACCCGTTTACTAAGAGACAACAATTATTACCGTTATTATTTTTACAATGTATATGAAATTTTGTAGTGGATAACTGTAAATATTGTGATTGAGACTGAATATAATCAAGAATTGGTCCATCATTATGTGAATATTTTAATGAACATAAGTCTTTTTAAAGTCTTTTTTTGTAACAAAAAATCAATATTTTCTTTTTCTTTGTATCTTTTTACCAATTGTTGCAGTGGTTTTTCGTTCTTTCTTAATAATTTTTTAATAGACATCATATAGTTTTCAAAGCGAAATGCACTGAACTTATCTAACGGACCATATATTTTTACATCCGAGCATAAATGTAATAAGTTGTGGACATTATGTGACACAAATTTTTTCCCATACAATATTTCAAATGATAAAACGAAATTTTTAAGTAAAGCCTCTGCATAATCTATAAATTTTGTTTTACATAAATCCGGACGAACAAGAATTGTAATTGCTACGTGAAGCATAAGAAAGTGATTATACAAATTTTCTGTCAATGAATATCTTAAAACAATAGGTCCGGTATATAAAAGAAAATTTCTGAATTCTACAGCTTTCCATTGTTTTACATCTTGTATACATCTTGGCTTTCTAACAAAATCATTGGGTGTACTATTTCTAAGTAGGATTAATAAATATGATATTCTTTTAATTGATCTTGGTCTTAACCGTACAGAAAGCGGTCCTTTTATCCATAAAAGTATTAATTTTTTAACAACGCCCAATAATACAAGATGCATATAGTCTAAAGGTGTGTTCGTTATAGGTAAAAAATTCGGAATATTATTTACAATAGAGTAACCTATCTGAAAATTCTTATAACCATTAATGGCAAAGAGGTCATCAGTTCTTAAAAAATATGGTGCATTTGGAAAGCATACTCGACCGTTCAAATATTTTCCTTTTATTGTACATTTTGTACAACTGTAGAATCCAGTGTGACCCTTTGTATGTAAAATGAAGGATTTTGCTGGTGCATCGCATATCAAACCAAATAATTTAATTTTGATCACGTGTTTATCATAAATGTAACCATTGTTAAAGGAAATTAAATCATTAACCAATGGTTCAAGAAAAGTATTACAATCTTGCGGCTTTTTTTCTCCAAAATATGCACCAACAAAATATACATCTTCATTTACTGTATTTGAAAGTAAAATAGGCCACAATGAAGCCTGTGATGACTTTGATAGAGGAAGACCATCTATATTTACAAGTAAATCTATATATTTTTCGTTCGATTTTAGAAACATTTTCTTAATCACATTATCCAAACCCGCATAAAAATATTGTCCACCGCATGCATTTATTACATCAACTTGTGGAGTTTTCAGTAACGTCCGTATATCTTTTGAAAAGTTATATGATGTATATTGCTGCAAAAGTTTTATCAATGCATTACATGCATTGTGATTAATATTGTACGATAAAGCCCATGTAATTAAATCATTTTTAAATTTATTATTACCATTATCATCATCATTGTAATTTCTGCTTTTATTTTCTGTGATGACATTTTCACTATCATTATCATGATTACAATCTATTTCCATGCTAGGATTATCATTTTGACATGGTAGATAATAATTTTCATTGTTACAGATTTCAATTTCAGAATTAAGTGTTTCATTAGTGTCTTTATTAAACGCATAAATATTTATATCAGTATTTTTATTTAATCTAGTCAAACAATTATCTTTAAAAGATCTATTGGTACTGCATGATTGTTTAATGATTTGTGTAGATAATCCTGCTAGATCAATATTAGTTTGATCTTCAATAATTCTCCTAATATGACGTTTTGAAACAGATATTTTACCTTTTAATATATTAGACATATTATACATTTAAGTTTAAGCTTGTCAGTACAAATACAAATTTTTTAAAATAAATTACATATTTTTTAGTTATATCTGTAAATGTAATATATAATTCAAATAATTCAATAATTATTAATTAAAGATGAGAGGAAATAAATCCTACATACATAAGAATGCTTACCTATTAATGAAATGCTAATATATACATATATCAAAAGTATGTACGTATTACTCAAGATATTATACGTAGAATCCTCCTTGCCAAAATGTTTAGTAATATTCTCTGAAACAATATAGTAAAAATATTTTAATATAAAAACAGATTAATTTGCCTATATTTATTTGTATATAATGTGTTGTTTATACTATTACACATAATACAAAAACATATGCTTATTCTAGAGACAAAATCACATATATCCTCTCAAAATTTCAACTTGATTAGAACAGTAATAATTATATTTATCTATTATGTGCCTTTATATATTTTCTTATTTCAATATTTCTTGCTTTCTTTCTGGTTTTCTATTTCACAATATACAAATACATATTATCTGCAATGCGACAAATGTATATGCACAGTGCGAACTGTATAAATAGTTGAAACACTCATCACAAGTAAGAAATGATAATATAAAATATACACACATAAAGCACTAGCTACAGATTTATATATATTATATTACTTTTTATGTATTATAATTATTTATTTTAACTGCTGCCTATATTTACCTCTAAAGTATCTATAGTTTCATATTACTGTATCATAGAGATATGTACATATATCCCATAGCAAAATAGAAAATTAAATAAAGCAAAAATATTCACTTAAAAAATATACGAAGATATATCATAAATAAATATATAGTTTTTACTTTCCCAATCAGTCTCAGTCTCCTTGAGGTTATAGAGGTTATAGGTTCTTATTAACTTTGGGACAAGTAATTCTCTTTTATAATTACGAAATATAGATTTTTAACTTTATAGTATATCGTTATAATTAAACATAGTATTATCAAAAAAATGCTTACCTTTTCCTTTACACAGCAAAACAAGTCAATGCGAGTTACTGTACACGTGATAACCACGAGTTGCAACGGTCTACGTCTACTACGTAGCGAAGCCGGCGCCTACTATACACGCACACATGTATTGCGCAGAGCGTTCGGCGCAGAAATTTAAGCCAATGATTTAATAAAATTATTGATTATCGTTAACATCTTTTATTGTACAATATTGCAAAAAATTATTTTATTACAGTATTATACCCAGCAAATACCAAGTTACAGTTATATAATTTTGTAATTTTCCACTCAACAATATAATTGTTATAATTAATACACGTATTATATTTTTGAGTGGGAAATTACAACTAACAATTATATAGCTGTAATTTGGTGTTTGCTGGGTACATGTATATATATTACAATATATAAATTATAGAATTTGGATTACATGCAATATTTCCGAAATATTAATGTCATGTTGCTACAAGTGTGCTGGAATTTTGTGCACCTATATCTCTGCAATGTCTTTATAATGTTGCATTGCAACTTGCAACATTGCAACGTTGCTGCAATATAATTGCAATAATCTGTGCTGTATGGGATATGTTATAATAAAAAGGTTACATCTATGAGTAGGAAATTACAACTAACATGGATGTTACATGTAACGTACACGTTATATTACCTGTTATATTCCGTTTTATTATAGCAATGTAACAATTATATATCGGTGTTTGCTGGGTTAGTTGTAATTTTCCACTCAACAATATAATTGTTATAATACACGTATTATATTTTTGAGTGGAAAATTACAACTAACAATTATATAGCTGTAACTTGGTGTTTGCTGGGTATATGTATATATATTACAATATATAAATTATAGAATTTGGATTACATGCAATATTTCCGAAATATTAATGTCATGTTGCTACAAGTGTGCTGGAATTTTGTGCACCTATATCTCTGCAATGTCTTTATAACTTGCATTGCAACTTGCAACATTGCAACGTTGCTGCAATATAATTGCAATAATCTGTGCTGCATGGGTTATAGTTGCACCGAGATTTCGTCGGTGATTGGACAGCGAACAGCGATTGGTTGTCGAATAGAGGAAGTTCTAGAGTCTCTATTGAGATTCTAGAAATTTCTTTATCTGACAGCCAATCGATGCGCACGACAAACATTTTGTCGCATGTATGTAATATTGCCTGAAGTAACGTCAGTGCTGAGTCAATCCGAATATTGTCGTTTCTTCTTTCTCTCTCTCTCTCTCTCTCCTTCTCCCTCTCTCTCTCTCTCTCCCCCTCTCTCTCTCTCTCTCTCTCTCTGACTGTTCTTAACAGTTCCTAAGAAAAGAACTGACGACATACTCATTGAAGAGTTTATTATTCGTTGAACATTTGACGTAAAGAAACTATGTCGTTAAACACGGCACATACTAACGGCGGAGTTCTTCTCCATGCTGGCGAAGGGTGAGCAGCATTTTACAAATTATTAGAATTATTACAAAATTATTTGCCTCGGAAAATCTCTGGATGTAATGTTTTTTTGCAATACGCAATACCGCCATATAGCCTTCAGTAGCAATTATTGCATTATTACCAACGTCCTTGTCAATTTTAGCGGCGTATCAATCTTATAATATTAAAACTATCATATAATTCAGATTATTTAACCTTTAAGCGATATATATATATACATATAATTCTTATATTATATTTTTATATTTGTATTTTTTATATTTCTAATTTATATTTTATGTTTATACAGGATGTCCCGCAACATATGATATCCATACTGAAAATGCGTATTCTTGGTGTCATTCTAAATCACAAAGTTAATACACATGCCCTAAAGTCGAGTGTCGATTTTAAAGTTATATAGCGAAAAAATGCAAAAGTAATTATTTATTTAAGAGAAATAATTACGACCAATACTGGCTATTTAGATTTATTAAATCAATTTTACAAACACCATATTTTGACCATAATGTTGGTTCTCTTCAGGTGTATAGTTAAATATTAAACAAGAGAAGAACACTGTTGTGTCAATGACTCTCAGTTTAACACAAACAAGTGATGAAGTGTCATTGACACACCAATGTTCTTCCCTTTTCTCTCTGTTTTAATATTTAATTGAACACTTAAAGAGGACCAAAGTTATGGTTGAAACATATGGTGTTTGTAAGATTGATTTAATAAATCTAAATAGCCAGCATTGGTCGTAATTATTCATTCTCTTAATATTTGGACTGGATTAAAGAATCTAATTATTAATTATTTACTTATTTATTATTTATTTTTTTATTATGACAATGCAAGCAATTGTTTTTTGTAAAGCCAATCATGAGAGTTTGATTTTTAATTGCTGTTTAGCATGTGGAAAGTGGTTTATTTCTCAACGATTTAATGTATGTCTTACTTTATTGCACTAGTGTGAGAAAAGCACCTTTATGACTTACTTTATTGCACAATTTACAAAGAAGTTAATTATTATTTGATATTATTGTTCAATAAATAATATTATCTTTAATAAATAAAACTATTCTTATTTTAGGCAATTTTTTCTGTAACTTTAAAACAATTGACTTAAAGGCATATATGTGAATTAAAACATTTTGACTTAAAATGATGCCAAGAATACGCAGTTTCAGTATGGACATTACATTGCAGGACACCCTGTATATTATGATATATATCTTATATTTATATTTTATAATTATATTTATATTTTATACATATATATATATATATATTTACTTTATGCTTTATAAATTATACTTATGTTAATCTAATCTTAATCTTAGTAGTACAAAATTACAGTTCAAAAATCTTTATTGTCGATTTTTTGATATATAATTGCTTTCAGCATCATACTCTTCTGTGACAATGTTACTATGGAGTTTCATGGACAAGAGCAGGCCGAATTTATTGGAAAGAAACAAGGCAGATTATACTTGACGACACACAGGATGATTTTCAACTCTAAGGATCAAAAAGATAAGATGCAGTCATTCAGTTTCCCATTTGTCACATTGAGCGAAGTTGGACTGGAGCAACCGGTCTTTGGCGCAAATTACATAGGAGGCAAGTGCCGTGCCCAGCCAAATGGTAACTGGATCGGAGAATGCAAATTTAAGTTAAGATTTAAGAGTGGAGGAGCGGTGGAATTTGCTCAAGCTTTGCTGAGAGCCGCGTCAATGGGTAAGTTGAAAAAGAATTGCAAAATATACTATCTACAAACTAATAATATGTAATGAAATTAAGCTTTATATTTCTAATTTTATACTATATATATATCTTATATATATATATATGTATATATAAGACATATATATATATATATATATATATATATATATATATAAAAGACATGCGTATGTATTCTTCATATGTATTCTTCGCATATCAGAGAACAATAGAGTTATCAGAGAAACAATAGCATTATCAGTTGTACTAATAAGAAAAATTTATCAATTTAACTCTTGTAAAAAATATTGTTTTATATGTGACTTTTAGCTCAACGTAATAATCCTGCTAATGATGCACCACCACCATATACACCTCCATTATCCGATTGGTATCCAGCGCAGCCTTCAGCTTATCAACCACCACCAACTGGATATTATGGATGGATGCCTCCGACCAACGTATTTCCTGATGTTCCACCAGGTCTAATAGCGAGAAGCGTTCAGTTTCCAATATTTATTCGCATTTAAAATGAGAGAAATTTTTTACATTATCTTAAATGTACCTTACAGTAGCTCTAGTACTATTTTTAGTGATCAAATTTTACTTGATATTTCAAAATAGTTGAGTAACTTTTCACACACTCAAATTACACAGATTAACACACTCTGATTTTTAAGGCTCTTGGATCGGCCAGGTTGGATGATGACGTCAGAAGCGAGAAAGCACACGCTGAAAATTCTTAGATGCCTTTTTTAAATGAAAAGATATTTCGATGAAACACTACTTCAGATGACTTTACCACCTTGTAAAATACCTCAAAAATTATTATTTTTTCTTGATAATCAACAACTGTAAAATGATAGTGATAACAAACTTTATCAATCGGAAAACGCAAACTAGACGAACTGGGCCCAATATTACAGCTATTGATTTATAAAGGAAAAAGAATAATTTTCGTATTTTAAAAATATGCTAAAGCCGTCTGAAGTGCTGTTTTACTTCTTAAAAGAAATATATTTTTATTCCGAAATGAAATCTAAGAATTTTCAGTGTTTTCTCGTCTCTGACGTCACAATTCCAATATAATCGGTGAGGAGCCAGAAATCCTAAAATTTGCATATTATAAAAAATATAGACAATAATAGATCTTTATATTATAATATATAACGAAGTCAATTGAATAACTAATATTTAAAAAAATAAATCAATAAGTCTTATTTTATGAAGCATTTTAATTTTTTCCTGACAAATTTTGTTTTTACACTTGCAAACATAAAAGATATTTAAGTATTTACATTCACATACAAAATGCACTCGGTGTGAAAAAATAAAAGCTCGTTCTTGATGGCAATTCTTATTTCTTATATATTGTTTAAGTGCTGTTAAAGTAAAAATCTTAAAAACGTTGCATTATTAATGAATCTTACACAATGACTTTTGTTTGAAACATCATTTATGTGAATATATATTTCTTCTGATTATTTCAAAATGATACTTGCATTAAGTATTTGTTGAACTGTTTATTTCTTCTAGGCAATACGGTCTTTACGACGGACAGTCCGCCACCGTATCCCGGTATACAGTCGGGATATGGATATGCGAGCGGGCCGCCGCATCAAGGGATGGCTGGTGGCGCAGTAGCGGGACAGCCAGGAGTTCCCGGATGGGCTAATCCGAATTACAACGGCCAGCCGATGTCTCAAGCAGGTGCGTACCCTGGTGGTTACGGGCAACCGCCTTATAGCGGCTATTCACCTAACCCACCACCGTACTCGGCGTATCCGCAAAGCAGCTATGCACAACCTGGAGCTTATCAACAGCCGGGACCCTATCCATACCCACCTCAGTACTAACGAATTGTAACAAAGTGTATATCTGTAAATTATGCGCTTTTCGTTGAAATTTATGAGAGTTATGAAGAAATATTGATATATATATATATATATATATATATATATATATATATATATATATATATATATATAGGAGTTTATATATATATAAGAGTGTGATTTAGTTTTAGAAAAGACGTTAATGTCATTTTTCCGAAGACAGGGTGTATACTCCCGGGAAAAACCTGGAATTCTCAGGAAATTTTTTCTATCTTGAAAAATCCTGGAATACTCATGGAATTTATTTTAAACTCAGAGAATTTAAAAAAAATGCTCCTTTGATTTTATTTTCAAATTAGCTTTAAAGAATATAAAATTATTAGGTTTATATAAAGTATATGTTAAAATATATTTTATTATAAAATATAATATTATTATATTAAAAAAATATTTTGTTAAAAATTTTGTCTAACAAAAATGAACTTAATTTAAAATTGTATTAAAAATTTTTTTAAATACTTTAATTTTACTTGGAATTTTGAACAAAAGTACACCTGAAAATCATAGAATTTTTTAAGATTTGAGTATACACACTCTAGAAGAAATTCAATTATAGCTATTGTTTCCGAAAACTAATTCATGATATTTAGTCGTTTATTAACAGTAGACGTAATAAAAATCGTGTTTATACGTAAAAATGGAGCTTCCTTTTTGACTTGTTGCTTTTGTTTTTTTAAGAAGAAAACGGCGGCTGAAAGTCATTAAGAATTCTAACACAATCTACTTCTTGAAGAACTTATCAGAGTATTAAATGTACTACAGTTATACCAAACATTTACGTTAAATAATTAGATTTGTGAGGAAAAAAAACCTTTAAAACTAAATCACATTCTTAATATTATAAACGTTTCTATCTCGGAGATTCTAGAAACATTCTAATGCTGAATCTAAACAACGAGTTATTTACCTCCGAATATTATTTGTGTATGAATGCGCAATAACATTCGGAAGAAAGGATATATTAAATATTCTTCGAGAACAATATATTTATGTTTGCAAAGATTTACAGATTTTTGAAAAATATGTTAACTTGTATATTTCTTGCAATTCCATTGAATATAATAAGCAATTATATTTGTATATTTTAATTTCGCGCGATTATAGTTATATTAGACGTATTATTAACACACACACACACACACACACACACACACACACACACACATATATATATATAACATAGGTTATATATATTTATCATAATATATATATATATATATATATATATATATATATATATATATATATATATGTGTGTATGTGTGTATATGTATAATTACATATAAAATTTTATAAATATAAAATTATATAGTTATATATATATATATATATATATATATATATATATATATATATATATATATATAATATTGAATGTGATAAATTGATTAAAGATAATTTGCTGTTTTTATTCAAACCTATCAATGAAAAACTTCTCTTTATTTCAAAATAATAATACGAAAAAAAGAATATATATAAAAGACAGCTAAAACAAATTAATTAATAATCTCGTAAACTTAAAAGTTTTGAATATTAAGCAACGCGATTGCAAAATTTGTCCTTGCTTGATCTGAAATAGGATTGGCTTTCACTTTGCTCAGTTATTATCTCATAGTTGTGAGTTGATAGATATGAAACGACTTGGACAGATAGATATAGTAGAGTTTGTGTGTTTCAAGAAGTTACTTCTTACTATGATATATTGTGAACTGTCCATACATTTTTTATACACAAATTGGTGCATAGACAAAGGTTTTTTTGTTAAATTGATAAAGTAAACAATTTAAATCTAATCTGGTAAATGTATTAAACAAAAAATAGTGATTAACGAAAATTTAAAAGTTCTTTAGTCAGAATTTGTCATAAAAATTATATTATTATATGATACATTGTTATGCTTTTTAATAATTGAACATACTTTCATATATTAGTTATATTAATTTTTGATAATCAACCGTAGGAAAAACAGCAGCTAAAACTTCTAACAAAATTTAAAATCATGCCAGAAAAAAGTAAATTCAGTGCATCAAATAGAAATAATGTTTGTATGTATTTTATTAATATTTTTTAATATATTAATAATAATGCAAAAATTATATGGATTATACGAAATAACTTATCGCCATTGCACCAAATTTTAATGACAGATTTGATTTTCATGACATCGATGTTCAATTTATTAATTTTTTATGAGAATTATTAAATAATAATTACTCGTTGCAATTTTTGTATTAAAAATGTTATACAATTTATAAAATCGTTAAAATTTATATAAATATACTTATTATTATGTATTTATACCTAATTTAATATTTATACCTAATAAAGTTATTCACATTTTTCTTATAGTCTGATATTAATACGAGCATTTTTGTTAAGGAAAAAAATCCATTCTAATTCCACAAAAAACTATCATTAAAATTTAATGCGACAAGAACATGTAACATATATTATTACTTTGTATTCAAGTTCATTGTTCGACATTACCTTTTTTTTTATTTATCAGATGCGAAGGCCGCTGAAGCTGCACAAAGCGCATATTACGATCCTAATAGACCTCAATGCGCTTACGTTCCACCACCAGAATATTATGTAAGCATTATATTATTTTAGATACACATGAGATATATTAGTAAAATTCAAAAAATTATAAATTTTTTAATTTATTACTTTTTATAATTAGGTAGCAAGAGCATACGTCATTTTGACATAAATTTACTATTTTGCTCTGCTTCTGTAATATATAAAGAACATTTCTCATCTACTAAAAGTTTTAGGATTGTCTCTCGATTTATATAATAATTATATCTACATTTATATACAATGTCATAAAATACATATAATATAAAAATATTTTTATTTATAGATTAGACAGATTTTACATATACATACTTGTTACAAAAAAATATACTTGATATCATTCAATTTCGACGTATGTAATAAATTATTTCGTTATTTCAGGAGAGTCCACCGGCTTATGCTAAGAAGTATCAGTGAATATATTATATATAATATATACGTTGCTTAAGTGAATTATATAGTATAATCTCGATATGCATTCCACCTTAGGCGAAATTATTGCAAAATTGTACGCCGCGCATTTAGTATAACAAACATTGCGTTCGTTTTATACAACATTCTGGAATCGAAATGCCTAGATTCAAGGCTAAAGATGCTATCGTTTGAGCGCCATGCAATGTTTTAAAGCACAGATTAAAACATAAGTGTTGCTGTAAAATACTTTGTAATAATACCAGCATGTATTAACGCGAGTATTTACAATAATTTCTTATGTACATAATATGTTATTCTTTGAAAACACGATTGTATTGTTTTATGTTTCACGCGGATCTATATAATTGCAGAATAAATGTTTACACGCATGTAAATATGTAAACTATTTGTATAATTGTGAATTTGCTATGTAGAACACATGTATATCTCTTTTTCAAACCTTTATTAAAAATGACAAAATTGCATAATATTGTTAACATGCCATTGCAATGTAATCGAATATAAAAACAAAAATCGATTTCGAGCTTCGAAATATATATTTTCACAAAATTTTAGTTTTATAATTAAAGACAAAAAGGAGAACTAAAATTATATTATTATTTTTGGATTTTTCTGGATAGCTAATCATTTAAAATGCGTTCAAATGTATCTTTCTCTTTAACAATATTATTTTATTTCTTCAAATGACAGAGAAAAATGACAATAATTACAGCATTAAATGAAATGCTAAAAAAATTTGATATTTATAATATATCATTCAATCTCAAAAACATTTACGAAATAATAAAAAAATAACTGCTTAGAGTCCTGTCTAAGCAATTTGTATGTTACATATAAATATAGGTATAATCTGAGAGAAATAGGTGTATAAAATTGCTTCCTCCAAGTCTATCCATACTCGGAAGTAATTGTCAGACTAAGATTTCCATTTTCAACGCGAGTACTGTGATACCAAATCCTCGTATCCAACAATACAATGTCCGCCGCGTCGACGGTAAATTTAAAAGATGCGCATTCGTTGTCACATTCCGGTGTCGGAGCTACACTCCATGTTTTACTACCTATTATCTGAGCTTGCCACATAAGTCTTGATATATAATCCAGCTAAAAAAAATTAAAAATATTTGTAAGTAACATAACAGGATCAAGTACGTATCTTATAAGTAAGTTTGAATTTATTTGCATGATTTCTATATGATTATTTTTCGAAAATAAATTACTTTCAAGTAGACTTGAATCTGGACAAGAATTAAATTATATAATTAAAATTAATTTTAAATTAATTAATTTTTAATAAAATTTTAATATTATATTCTTAAAGACATGCCGATTTTTACAATGATTATATATCTGACAGATCTTATTATATCGTTGGAAAAAATGTGTAACTTTGTAGGAGTAATATATATATATATATAGAAAATACATAAACCGGATAAGTCAATTAAAGTGTGTTACAGATTTATATATTGGAAACGAAAAATTTTAGAGAAAAATGTTTCAGACAAAAAGTTATATGGTTTCAAGGGGGACATGAAATGGTGTCATTGATTTGACCTTAAATAGCCATTTGAAGGTTACGTGAAGGTCACCTTTAATTTCTTAAATGAAACCTATTTTTTATTGCATATTCTTATAGCTTATCTCGAGTGCTTTCCAAAACGCTATAATAAAATATTAATTTTCTCTCAAAGTACTTTTTGAGTTATAAGGTTGAAAGTTATAGTACCGCCAGCATTAGCATTACCCAAGATGTACCACGCGGAGATTGCCCAGTCGGACATCTCATGTCCCTCTTGAAACCATACAACTTTTGTTTGAAACATTTTTCTCTAAAATTCTTCGTTTCTAAGATATAAGTCTGTAACACTTTAATTGACTCACCCGATATATAAAAAAATATATATAGCTGCTAGTTGCAAATTACATTTTCTTATAAACAACTGTTTTCTTTACATGTATACTAATTGATTTCTCTCATTATTTTGTGCGTAAAAATATTGAGGTAAGGTCATTGAAAAATGAACATTTTATGAGATTTTCAGTTTATGTAAAATTATATCAAATTAAAATACGAAGTATCTCGTAAACGATTCACTTTTTATAGCCATCCTGCTCTTGTAACTTATACCTATTTTTATGTCGATTGTGAAGAATCAATTTATATATAAAAAAAATTTCAAATAATCTTGAAAAATATATTCTTTAAAAAAAAGTCAATAGCGCTATATCTTCTGTCCCCCTGTATAAAAGAACAATTTTTATTTAAAACATTTTGTTATACAATAAATAATAAAAAATGTTTAGGAGTGATCGATTAAAATGGGACATCTTATTGTATACAATTGAGTAATGTGCGTCACTTATTTTAATCAAAATAATTTTTATTTTTGCTTGAAACCAGGTTTTTTTATATTTATTGCTTTATTCATTATTTTTAATAAAACTGTAATAAATAAAAAACATCACATATTATAATTTTTAAAAAATGCAATAATATTGCATACGACCTTTAATGATAGCGATATAAAAGGTGTTCGTACCCTGTACCCACCCAAGTAGAACAGGATAAAAGTCAAAATAATGGCAATTTGATCAAATTTGATCAATATGACGTCAAAATGATATCATTTTGATTTTCTGTTCTACTTGGGTACTACCAGGATTCATTTTATTTATATAACGTCAAAATGACGTTATTTTGACGTTTAATGACGTCAGTCTACTACCTGGATTCATTTTATATTTATTTATGTTATAAGAAGAGTAATACGTGACGCATTTTCAATTTTTATGTTTATTTATTATGTCATCAATTGTAATGACCAAAAAATATGTCATTAAACCTCAAATAACGTTATTTTGATGTCGAATGACGTTATTTTGACGTTTAATGACGTCAGAGTCTGCTACCCGCATTCCTCTCTTTTTTCCGGATAAGAAAAAACTTACGTGCATTACGGCACCGTCCTCGTAGCCTACGAAGATATAGTTGCTATTTGGCATTTCCGCGTCGTCCGGCAAGAAATACGGCGCGCTGTAAAACCGCTTCATGGCATCCAAAATACGCGGATGACAGTTCTTCCAGCCGATGTACCAGGGCCGCTCGCCCTCTCCGTACACGTATCGCGCCTCGCTCATCGCGAACACCTCGCGCAGATTCGCGAAATCGCTCTTCAAGCGCAAGAATTGACATTCCTCTTCCAGGGACTCGTACGCGCCCTCGGTGTCCTCGTACAAATTTCGAAAAAATTCCAGGTTGTACTTGTCACGCGCCGGCCAATCGCGGGCCGCGTTCTTCACTATCATAGGCCGGGACGAGTAGGAATAAGAGCGCAGAAATTCCTCCTTAGTCAAGTTCGGCAAGATCAACGGCGCTTCGACGTCGCGGCAGTAATCGCAATCCGATACCGATCTCGTGAATTCCCACACGAGATAATTATTCGGCAATAAGCATCGGGTCTCGCGAAAATTCTTCATTATATTCGCGTTAAGGTGCCCGTTGAATATACCGTACAAAAGGAGCGCGAATAACATCATCGATATTCTCTTCGAGTACACAAAGAAATTACGATTCTTATTCATACTTTTCGCATCGATTGTTGTCAACGTGATAGATTTCAAATCGTTCAGCATGGCCCCGTGTTGGATATAATTTTCGGTTAATTTGAAAAACGTTTTTCGTATAAATTCCACGTTATTCTCGGTCGCCGCCATTTTAGATGATAGTTTAAATATAATTATTTTAATACTTTTGTGAGTCAGCTAATTTGCCTTTCATTTGCAAGAAGCTATTCGTTTTCTACTTGTATAGTATTGGCTCCTTATTAATAAGTAGGTACAAGCTGAATTTATTTCTCATTTTGACGTTATACTGTGAAATAAATCAAATTTTCAATATATTCCATTCTATTTACAGATATATGCATTATTTGAAATAGATGCATTTAAAATGGAAATACACAAAATACATTCATAAATATGTATTTATGTAATTTAATTTTTGATAATCAAATTTATATTAAAAGGATTTAAAGTATAAGAAATAACAGAAATTAAATAATAAAAATATAAATATATAATAAAGAATATAAAATAATAAATAATAAGAGTTTAAATTTAAAAATGTAAATAGTAAAAAATTCTTTCTATTTAAAAAACCATTTTAAAAATGCCTATTTTCCATTTTCTATTTTAAATGGATATTTTAAAAAACATTTTACAATTTACATTTTCAAATAGAATATTAAAGTTTCAATTTTGCATTTTAATTTCTATTTCAAGTGGATTTGAATTTACTCATTTTGCATATCTTTAGATATTGTTATATAATTTCGATTGGTTTCAGCAATATTAACGTAATAATATTACAATAATAAGAACCGTTCTTCACTGTTTAACGTGTGTATCTGTACTTACGCTTATCATTTCTCCTTTGACAAATATATATATGTTTGTATTGTACATGAATCATTGCCTTATTTTAGAACTTGATATAAACTGAGTATTTACACATTTTGTATCAAAAGATTGTAGAACCAATATCTAAATTAATAAATTCGAAAATTGCGAACAATGTTTTACCGCGTTTTATTTATCACGACAGTCCGATACAGCGATTCTTATTCGCAGAGACAGATCATGCGTGATTCATAAAAGCACTATTAAATAATAATTATGTATATAATTATATAAAATATATAATTATGAATACAACAGATATCAATAAGAGTTATAAAACACTAGCAAATAATACATAAGATATAAAATACAGCTTATATAGTACGCGCAACATTCTGCTCGACCTTGAGCTACATACACACGCGACTGCGAGAACTGCAAAACTGCTATTGATTATACAGCAGAAACTTTCATCTCCCCTTGGTCTTGGTGGGGATTCTCCTCCCAGCGGCATTCACAGCTGCCTTACGAATGGAAGCTGCAGCTAAGTACTTTAACAAGACGTTTCCTGCGTAGCGTGTTCAACAGATGTGTGTTCTTCCGTTTCTAGTAGAAAATATAGCTCGCACGTGGCGTGTGCGTGCGCGCGACACGTTTAGGAATGTGTTTTTCACGTAGTATCAACAAGATTATATACATATATGCGGTTTTAAAGTTTTGTTCTATTATTTAATGTAATGCCTTTAATTTACACTTATGACAAATATACACCCAACTTTGATAATTAACACTCGTGTTAAGGGTCGACAGGCGACATGGTGGAGACGCCTATCGGCCGGCCGGGAATTACGGATTCTTATTTTCCAGATATTAGCGAAAATATTGAATGAATCTTATTAAATTTAGGATATTCTTAATCAGTAAGCTCATTTGTAGTCCTCTAAAGAGCTATTTTATGAAAAAAAGATAAAAATAAAAATTTTTAATAAACTTGGGGGAATGCACAGCTAGGAACGGGTAAGGTTGGGTTAGCCGCGAGTCCGTATTTTATTTATTATAAATTTTTAAGAGCGAAAATGTAAAATCCGGCCTTTTAGAGGACTGCTTTATTATATAAAGAATATATTAAAAAAAATTCACGAAGTTATGTCACTTATTTTATGAAATATCTGGACGATAAGATTCTCACTAGATTCATAAGGAGCAGGGGAAATTTCTGTGGTAACATGCTGACTGCTTGACAAGGAGAGAGCATCATTCCATCTTTGTCTCTCTTACATCGCATATGTAGTAGCGTCCATGTAGGTACAAAAACTAATACGTGAGCACACGGATGCAAATATTGAGAGATAATGTCAGCAAAAAGGCTATCATATTATTTTTATTTTTTTGTATATGTATGCATATGTAAATAAAGAACAAAAATAAAAACTATTTTAAATAATAAGAATCTATTTGTGTGTGTGTGTGTGTAATTAAAAATTAATAAAAAAATTAAAAAATCAATTTATATACCATATATTTTTTTATATCATATAAAAAAATCTTAGAAATGTACTTAAATTTTTCGTAGATCCTCGATTTTTTTCATTGCTTCTAAACATTCAGCTAAAAGAGCAGTTGAGACTATTCGAATAAAAAATATTTCATCTTATTTTTTGCAAATAATATAATATATTTTTTATTTAGGAGTCCAAAAATATATGTTACGCATAAGTTATTTATAATTTTCGTTCAAATTAAGAGAATATTGTATTGAATATATTGTAATGCATATACACATTAATTTTCATTAATTTACTTGTTTAACAAAAACATGGTTTTTTGATAATAATTTAAAATTATTTCTGCTCAGTGATTTTTAAATAGCCGCAGTATATTGACGGTGCAAAGGTAGCATAATCAATTGTTTTTTAAATGAAAACTGGAATGAAGGAATTGATTAAAGCTGTTTTAATTTGTAGATTTAAAATTTAAATTTTAAGTTAAAATTCTTAAAAGAAATTATGGGACGAGAAGACCCTATTAAATTTAATATAATTTTTTTATTTAAGGAAATAAATTTTATTTTAATGATTATATTTTATTGGGAGGATAATTAAATAAAATGAACTTTAATTTAAAGATAATTTTAACATTAATTAATGAAATTTTTATAAAGGATTGATTATTAAATTAAGAAAAATTTTTTTTTTTATAATAATTATAAAAATTAATTACCTTAGGGATAACAGCGTAATATTTTTAGAAAGATCATATTAATAAAAATGATTGCGACCTCGATGTTGAATTAAAATAAAAATTAAATAAAGAAGTTTAATATTTTAGTCTGTTCGACTAATAAAATTTTACATGATTTGAGTTCAGATCGGTGTAAGCCAGATCGGTTTCTATCTATAATAAAATTAAGAAAATTTTGTACAAAAGGACTTTTTTTAAATTATATTTTTTTTAATGAATAAATTTAATTGATCAAATATATGTAAATAAATAAAATTACTTTGGCAAAATTTAAGTGTATTAAATTTAGAATTTTAATGATGTATAATAGAAAAAAGTTATACAAGTAATAATTTGTCAAAATTTAAGATTATATTTTTATAGTGCGTTAAATATATTAAGATTGTTAATTTTGTTATTAATTATATTAGTTGGGGTAGCTTTTTTAACTTTATTGGAACGAAAAATTTTAAGATATGTACAAATTCGTAAAGAACCTAATAAGGTGGGATTTATAGGATTATTTCAACCTTTAAGTGATGCTATTAAATTACTTAATAAAGAATTATTTTATGTATATAAATCTAATTATAATTTTTTTTATTTATGTCCTATAATTAGATTTGTTTTAATAATAATATGATTGGTATTTCCTTACATTACTAATATTTATTTTTTAAATTATTCTATTTTATTAATAATTGTTTTTATAACTAATAGAGGGTATGTTATAATTTTTATGGGATGATCAGCTAATTCGATTTATTCAATAATAGGGGCAATACGATCAGTTTCACAAATATTATCATATGAAGTAAGATTTATTTTAATTATTTTAGTATATGTTATATTATTTTAGTAATATATTATGTTATTATATTAGTAAGAGAGAGATATTCTTTTTTTGATTTTATTAATTATCAATTTTATTTATGATATATAGTAGTTTTATATCCTTTGTTTATTATAGTTTTTATTAGGATTTTAGCTGAATTAAATCGAAGTCCTATAGATTTTATCGAAAGTGAGTCAGATGATTTAATATTGAATATTTTAGGGGTGGGTTTACATTAATTTTTTTATCTGAATATGGAATAATTATTTTTTTAGATTAATTAGAATTTATATATTTAGGAATTTATTAAAATATTCAATAATTTTAACTTTTATTTTAATTAATATTTTATGTAGAATAGTAATTTTTATACATGGAATACTTCCTCGAATACAATATGATAAATTAATATATTTATGTTGGAAAATTATTTTACCAATAATTTTGGTTTATATTTTATTAATTTTTGGATTTAAATTTATATTATTAATAATAATTTAGTAAAAAAAATTAAATGTTTAAAAGTTAATAGAAAATTAAAATTTCTTTAATATGTTTTCAAAACATAAACTTAAATTCAAGATTATTAACTTAATTTAATAGTAATTTATAAAAAATTTAAATATTAAATATAATTATTTTTAATATTTTAAATTTATTTATAATAATAAATTTTAAAATATTTATTTAAAAATAATTAAATCTCAAATTTTTATTAGGAAAGGTAATAAGATAAAATAAAGAAAGTAACATAATGATAAAATTTGTCTAATAATGATAAAAGGTTGAGCTCCTGCTCATGTTAATAGAATAAAAATATTAATGAAAATTCAAAATAAATATTGATTTAAAGGATAAAATGATAATGAATTAAATTTTATAGAAATTAGAGGTAAAAAATATAAGATAATAATTGATGATAATAATGCAATTACACCTCCTAATTTGTTAGGGATAGATCGGAGGATAGCATAAACATATAGAAAATATCATTCAGGTTGAATATGAATTAAAAATGTATTTTATAAATAAATGAAATATTATATATATATATACAGATATGAAAGAACTTACGAGTAACGTATGATGGCTCAATGCAAGAATATTTAATCACGTAAAAAACTTGAGTTCAAATATATCAATATCAATTTTTTTATAATATATTAGAATATAGAAAATCATAGAAATATATTTTTTATATAGGCGATAAACTTAAAAATTTGATATTGAAAATATTTTAATCATTTTACAACTACACACACTATAAATATATAAATGCAAAATACTTCCGTAAATAAATTTCAATAAATCAATTGCACACATGCACACAGCTGGTATGTAGATTTTTATTAAATTTATTTTCTGAATTATTTTACACTTATATATATGTAGTAAAAATATTTTTTATTGATATATTTGAACTCTAATTTACTGGATGATATACTGAACATCCTTGCATTGATTATATATTACTCAACGGTACGTTCTTTCACGTTATAAGTTATTGGAGCAAATTATACAATAGCATCAATAATCAAAAAGAAATCAAGAATAATCAACATATCCCTTATATAATATATATATATATATATATATATATATATATATATACGCACATATGTGCATAAGGATATATAAAATTTATAAAAAGTAGGTACTTATTAGCCTTGCTACGCTACTGCCTTCTGCTACGGAAGGCCAGAAAGCATTTTCAGGCGGCATCTCGCGTATACCGGCACGGTAGAGGAACAAGGAGAACACGTGATTATCGGTCCTTGTCTCTCTACGGTGCGTCCGCGTGAGCAATGCAATGGTGTATGTACGTGTACAGACATGCACCACTACATAAAACCCGAGAATTGGTTTCTCGGCGTTGGCAACACTGAAATCGGAGTTTCGCGTTGTCACCGCGCGAGGTCTCCAACATCAATTCGGAGTTTGGCCGACCGACCTGTCGACCCTTAAGTAACACTTTCTAACGTTTAAATTTATACATACTACATACATTGATCATTAAAGTTTGAGGCAAGTTGTAGGTTTAACCATCAATGATAAATGTAGGTTGGAAATTAATTTAAAAATGTACTCAATTTTGATGATTAACATTCAAATTTGAGTATTAACACTCATAGAACGAGTGTTAACACTTACAATTTCAATGATAAGTGTAGGTTGGAAATTAATTTAAAAATATATACTCAATTTTGATGATTAACATTCTAATTTGAGTATTAACTTTGATAAAATTAACGTACAAATTTGAGTATTAACACTCATAGAACGAGTGTTAATACTTATAATAACTTTAATAATTATTAAAGTAATTATAATTAAGTGTAAATAGGTTGGAAATTAAGTCTTATATGAGTAAATTGGAGATTGACAGCATGTTTAGATATTAGTTTGATGTTAATTTTCAATGTTTAATATCGATTTAATCGCGATGATCTCGTCATCATTGAGATGTTAATGTGTTAATCTTCATTAAGTATCGATTGCCGATCCTGCCATTAATTGAATATCAATTAGAAAATGCATGCACTATATAATTGAAGCATAATTGACTGCTAAAATAAAATTGTAATAATAGTAAAATAAAAACAAAATAAAAGGATAACAACTAATTACTTTCAATTCGTCTCTCTAATAATTTTTTAATAAATATTAATAAATATTATATTAATGTTTAACATACCTGTAATTAAAATTGAGAAACATTTTATTTAATTCTCTAATTCTCTTATTTTTAATTAGATCTTAAATTGTCTTAAATTGTTATTAAAAGGATAAAAAAAAGCATTGAAAAAACAGTTTCAGAAGTATTTCTATTTTATCAAATCACACATAACGTATAATGTACAAGTCCCATTCAAACCGACTTCCAAAGCAGATCTTTCTTAAAAATTAGATAGATTTTATTAATTGCACACAAATTACCACAAATTTTTATTTTTATCTTATTCGCGATTATTCTCTTACACAATATAACAGTATAAAACTTACAGCAGTTACAATATTAAAGAGCATATATACGTTTTTTCATATAGTTTTCACAGATCATGGGATAGTAATAAATTGATTCGGTCTGAGCTTTTCTGGACACTTGATATTTTTTGCTTACAGATTCAATAAAAAAAATGAATTTTTTAATATTATTATAAACGTGAAATATTCGTTGTTTCTCTGTATTGTCAAGTTAATACGATAAACGACAATCTTGTTAATTCATTTTCTTTTTATTCACAAGTACTGCTTTGATTGATGACAAAATAAAATGTTGTAATGTATAATAAACTTGTATTATTAAAAAAAAAGAAGTATACAGAGTGTGTCTTAAATTTGCACTATCTAATGGCAGAGTTGAGAAGTCACATATTTGAAGATGAAAATCTCAATATCAAATATATATATGTATTTATTAAAATCTTGTAAACGAGTAAAATTATTTCATCATTTCATATAGAAAAAAGCTGTGTATAAATTCGGATTATGTTGTATTAATCATATTTACTAAATAAAATGAAGAATAGAATAGCTTACATCCTCAGCAAAAATTCACTAAATTTTTACATGGGATTATCTGCGACAACCAATTTTCAATAGTTGCACATCTCTAATTTTCGTTACATGCGATAATCCATCCATAGAACTTTTCAATTACATCTTGTACATTGTATACAGGAATCAAATCGTGGTACGAACGAAATGGAAATAATTCATGTAAATGCAAGTCGAAAATATAGAATACAATTTTTTCATATAAATTTTTTTATATCATGGGTTTTTGAAAAATCTGTTTTCCATTTTGAAAAAATCCACCTCGAATAACATACAATTTACAATGACAGTCGGCTTATCGAATTTTGCTCTATTATATAATTATTTCTATTTTATATATGTAGATTGAATATATATCATGATTTTTATACACTCTATATATAAAATCTTTAAAATTTAGTAAAGAGTATGCGAGTAATTTGTTGCAGAAACAAAAAAAATATAAAATTAAAGAATCGAAATATCTTTTCATTTAAAAATGGTATCTATAAGAATTCTCATGTTTGTTTTTTCGCTTCTATTGTCACAAAATTCAACATATTAAATGACATACACACAAACTGAGCAAGTCATAAAATGAATAATGAGTGACTTATAGGTTGCATAAATAATGATTACTTCAAAAGTTTGCTTGTAGATGTAGTATTAAAATTTTGTCTTTTGCTGCAACATCTTCATAACAGAAAATACTGTATATTTCTAATGAGTCGCATTTCTATGCAACTTTTCAGCATAAAAATGGCAGAAAAATATTTTTTGTTATACTTACTACATATATTCTGCAGAGAACATATGTTCTTCATGAAAATAATGGTGCACTTATTGAAGGTACATACTCACACATACAAAGCATTCATATGCATACATACACATTCATGCACAGGCATATCTAATAAAATTAAAATTAATTGATCAATAAAATAGAAATTTATGAAAATCCCTTATTAAATAAATAATACATTAGTTGTAATTAATAGTTTCCTCTTCAATTAATATTTTATCCCAATTATTTAACTTTTGTATATCATAATATCCAGATCAACTTACAACTTTTATTTCAAAGAGATTTTATCAATTAATGGAATCATATACACACACACACACCCACACACACGCGCGCAAATAAACGCATATAAATGATTTTTACAAATTTTAAATAAAATTTGCAGATTTTTAAAAATGTATAAATACATTTTGATCAAATAAAAACAAAGAATTTAATTATATATTCAAAGACGCATATAATATTATCACAACACATTAATTATGGAAGTTCCACTAATCACAGTTCTCGTATAAAAGACTGTCTAACTTACATTCAGCTGTGTAGAAAATTCAGATTACACTTAAATCTTGACTATGAAAATATAAAACATTGGCATATATAGTGTGTTTATATTTTTTTCTCCCAATAAAACAAGGTTGTCACCTAAATTATTTTCTTAGCAAGATAGACTATGTTTATTGGGTATTCTTGATGATATTAATGCAACTCAAAATAAATTATTACTTACTGTTAAAAATGTGTGTGACTAGCTGACAGTTTTTATGTCAATGGAACAGCAGTGTTTGCATCAATGTTTACACTTGATTTAATTTTGCTCAATTTCTGCGATTTGCAAGATTGTGATTCACAAAAAAGGAAATTTTCAGTGAATCAGAAATAACACCACTTGCCAAGAATAGCGTCTTTAATAGCAGATATGTACTGTGCAGGGACCCAATATATCCAGTATCTTGATGCTTCTGTAGTGCCTAATTGTATTGCCTATAAGAATTTAAAGATTATTATTAGATTTAGTCATGAAAATAAGATCATTAAAGGGAGGATATTAAAAATAAGCAATTTTTATCCAAAAGTGGAACCTAAATTAATCATTGGAAACTGTTTATAGAATCTTCTAGAAACAGAAAATACTATTAATATATAATTATATATATATTTTTTTTATTTATATATATATATATGATAGATAGAAGATATATATCAAAAATATAAAGCTTAAAAATCATAAAATTATAAAATAGGTAAATTAAAGGTCGACCAAACAAAAATCTTTATGACTTCTAATAATAAATAATAAACAATAATATATCTTTGTTTTCATAACTTTCCCCGAATCTGGTAAACAAATAATTGTTATTTTCTGCTTCCAAAAACGGTTTCCAATGGTTGATTTAGGTTCTACTTTTGGGCCAAAAATGGCTTATTTTTAATATTCTCCTTTGCAGTATAATAGTAAAGTAATATATATATATATATACCATAATATGATACTCGGGATGGTCGTGAATAGGTTCACTGTGAACACCTTTTATTGAATTCATAGGTATTTTGTCTGTTCTTTCTTTCGTGCCGATCCAAAGTTGATCTTGTTCCAATTTAAATGTTAATCTAACTTTCCCTCCAGACTTGTTTAACATTCCAGCTAATGGAAATTCAGGCAAAGGTTCCTATATATGAAATTAGTTGTATTAATAAGTTTTTATCATACATATATATGTACATATACAAAAATAAACTTTATAGAAATTATACAACCTTGCTATCTAATATCCCTGGCATCACATCCTCTGGAATACCTTTATCTAAGACTTTCCTATGTACTTTCTGCTGTGAAAGGGGTTCTTTACTTACTGCAGAGACAGCTTCATCTATGAGATCTTGTTTTGTTGGAATTGACACAGCTAATACATCATCTAGCTTTGATCCAACTATCATGACTTTGGCACCTTAGATATTATAAAACAAGATTAAAGAACAATATTATATACCAAAAAGATAAATAATGTTTTGCACAATTCTAAGATATATTATATAAATGTTAATTTATTACCTTTTGTTATTCCCAAATTCCTAAGAGTCTGATCATCTTTGGCTAATCCTTTAAACATAACTTTCTGCATTGCTTGCGGTACTGAGATAATTTTCTGCAGATGTGTCTTTAATTCGGCAACTGTACCATCTAAAGCAAAATTCACACTAATCTTCTGTTTATTGTAAATTACTGTGAAATTTATATTCTCCATGGGCGGTTCTTGCAAGGCAGTTGCAGTTGTATTATGTGATGTTCCGATATTGTTTTCCTGTTCCGTTGTAAGTTCTTTTGCATTTGTTTCAATAGTTTCGGTAGACTTTGGATTCGACGCGAGCTCCGAACACGGGGACGAGTTGCAACAACTGTCACTGTCATCATTCTTTACAGTATCTGGAAAGATAGAAAAAGATTCTTCAAATTTGCAAACCCTCATGTAACGCAAACCTTTTCTCGCAACTTTTCCTGCAATCACATTATAATTAATAATTATATTAATATTAATATTGATATATATAAATATTGATTAAATATTAAATATATACATATATATAAATATTGGTTAAATATTAAATATTTTGCATATATATATCAACTATTAAATATATATTTATATATATTATTAACCATTAGCTCAGATTAACTAATTTATATGAATTAGATCACACACAAAGTATCTAATGTTATACAACACCCATGCGCATAAATAAAATAGAAACATTTCTTTTTATATACGAAAATACTAAAAGGTTAGTTTCGAGTTGCATCTATTTGAAAAAATATATATTTCGCGAAAACGTACATTGCTGCATCGAAGAATCCAATGATGAATTTAATCAAATGCAACGAAGAAACTTTCGATAAAAACAATGATATAGAAAGAGAAAAAAAGAGAGACACAGAGAGAGAGAGAGAAAGAGAGAGGAAGAAGAGCAGGTCATAAAATTATCTGACACACAACGCGCGTGTAATAATGCATTTTGACGGGACAGCGCGAACGTCCATCCGTCAGCTACTTTTATTTATGCGATTGAGAGAAAAGAGCGAAAGGGAGGCTGAGGAATATCGATAGCGCGTGAAAAATGTTTACGAGAAAGCACATGAAAAATAAACAGGATTTTGCACGTACCAACGTACTCCATGTTGAACCGTGTTCCGTTGGCCAATCAAAATTATCACAGAGAGCGTTGCGCATCGGAACATCTGTGACGTATGCTTTTTAGAATGACTTTCGAATTTTTGAATCTATATATATTTCCGAAGTACAATGCATGGTATGAAATGCACCAAGAGAAAGACAGAGAGGGAGGAAAGGGGGAAAGGGGAAGAAAGATATATAATATTTTTTGTAAAAAAAAAAGATTTATATATAGAGTCTCAAGTAGCAAACTGACGTCATTAAATGTTAAAATAAATGCGACGTCATTTTTTATGTTTAATGGCGTTATATTGACGTTATCGACGTCAAAATGACGTATGGTTGCTACCTGGAATAAACCATTTAATAACTTTGTATAAAAATATTTATCGAATTAATAAAGTTTTATGTATTCAAGGAGTGTCTTTTTATAACTATATGTCGCTTTTTATAACTATAAACTTATATTAAGGTCGGCTCAAGTAGCAAGCATTATTTTGACGTCGATGAAGTTATTAGATGTCAGAATAATGTCATTTTGACATTTACTGACGTCAGTTTGCTATTTGAGCGTCTCTCTGCGATCTTCGACAAACAAGAACGTCGGGAGTAACGAAATGAACAAATCCCATTTTGTACTATGTTTAAGGTCGTGACACATAAAAAAATGTAAGCAGTAAGGGTGCCGTCACATGAGGCGTAACTTGCGTACGCGTAACTTGCGGTAACTTACGCCGACCATTTCAGTATCAGCTTCTGTCTAGTTATTTTATGCTTTGTACGCTATTATCGTTACGCCGAATTCAATTTCTGACGGAAGAAACGCTGATGCGTATTTGTAAAAAAAACACACAACTCCATTTGTGCGTTCTTCTGCCAAAGACTAAAGACAAAGAAGAAGTTAATTTTAATCCATCCATACCTATACATTAATAAGATGAACAAGAATAAGGGTAAGTTAACAAAAATCTAATTTATTATATAAGCTTTAATAGCGTTCGATTAAAAACAGTCTACTGCTCACGACATGTGATACAAAATTTCAAGTTTAAATTGTATATTAGTATATAGGTCTTCGTACTTTTTGCATTTGAAATCTGTTTTCTCTTTCTCTAATATTTAACATATATTGATTTCTTGTTTTACATGCATGAATTTTTGAGAATTTTGAGCAATATGAACATTATAATGCATTATTTTCTACATTGCATGTTTAAATCTTTTCAGCACAAATGCGGGTATTGTGGATGGCTGTTCCAATTTTCTACTAATTTTGTCGAGCATTGCTTCAAGCATTATGTGGAAGATAAGGATCGCATCGTTGTAGATGGAAATTTTGTCGTGACAATATGTTATAACAGCATGTTTACTACATTCTTTGCATATATTTTGTTGTATCATTTTATTGTATTATAGTAATTAAATGTATTTATTTTATTTAATAATCCAAGAGAATGCAAAGACCTATTTATAAATAGGACTTGTAATTGATTTTCGTAACGCGTCCCAAATAATACGCTTCATGGGGAACCGATGCTTTGGGTTCCGTAAAACGCACATATTTAAAATGGCTGGCAAAGTGACAAGATAAATGAAATATGTAGAAGACGAGAGCCCTCACTGCTTCGATCAAGAGTTCATCCAAAGTATCTGTAGGACCTTCCGCATAACATTTCTGTTAAAGCATACAACGGAAACTCTAATCTACGATTGGTTGTATTAGTTACACGTTCCGCGCAATATGCCCTATGTAAATGCCGTCCTTCAGAATAGCGTAACCACGGCGTATCTTTTATTAAATCACTAGATTACACTAGAATACGCAGGTTACGCTTAACGCAAGTTACGCCTCATGTGACGGCACCCTTACTTCTTAAATCCACAGATCATGAGCATGTTTATATAGTCGTATACGACGAGACGTGTACTCATAAAAACATTAAATAGGTTATATAAAAGATTAAATTAACAATTATGAGTATCATCAATCACGACTATTGCCGTGATACATATAAAAATGATTTCGAAGAAGACAATTTACATGAATCTGAAGTAGTCTATGGTAATAACTTACTCTATAGTCTATGGTAATAACTTACCAAAGCAATTTATATTAATAAATTTTCCACTGGTATTTAATATCACGGCCTTCTTACATTTGTCACAATTTCCTAAAGTAATAATGCGATTAGAAGAATGTAACATCTTACGTTTCTGTGTGCCTTGACTTTAATGCTTACTTTCTTACTGTTTAAATTTTTTTATGTGCCATCAGCTTTAGGCCGGCGTCCCTTGGAGAGGATTACGCGGAAGCGGAACCAGCGGATCACCAATCACGGAATCGTTCCGATAGAACTTATTGATGAGCTCCATTGGAACGATTCCGTGATTGGCGATCCGCTGGTTCCACTTCCGCGTAATCTGCTCCATGGGACTCCAGCCTTACTGCTTACTCTTGTACTCTGTACTCCTGCTGCCATTGTAAACCCCGCTTTAAGGGTCGGCAGTACACCCAGGCAAACTCCGAATTGATATTGGAGACCTCGTGCGGTGACAACGTGAAACTCCGGTTTCAGTGTTGCCAACGCCGAGAAACCAATTCTCGGGTTTTATGTAGTGGTGTATGTCTGTACACGTACATACACCACTGCATCGCTCACGCGGACGCACGTAAGAGAGACAAGGACCGATAATCACGTGTTCTCCTTGTTCCACTACCGTGCCGGTATACGCGAGATGCCGCCTGAAAATGCTTTCTGGCCTTCCGTAGCAGAAAGCAGTAACGTAGCAAGACTAATAAGCACCCATTTTTGTAAATTTTATATATGCTTATGCACATATGTGGATATATTATTTATATATAAATATATATATATATAAAATATACTAATTTACTCTCAATTATATATGCTACTGTTATTATTTATCATTAGACAATTATAAAACAGAGGTTATAGATTTGGTCTGACTACACTGGCCTCAAATTAAAGTTGTATATATATTTATTTTAACGTTTCGACCATACGGGATGTGGTCCTTTTCAAAAATACAGATTGGAATATCAGAGAGTTACAGCATTTCGTCTTTAAGATGTAAGCGCAAATTATGATTCGGAGAGATTTAACTTGTCAAATAATAAAATATAAAATAAATTATAAAACATATACATATATAATTTGTAGTGCTATATATATATATGTTTTATAATTGTCTAATGATAAATAATAACAGTAGCATAATTGAAAGTAAATTAGTCTACAATGTTAGACACGGGTACTTGTTAGATTTGATAATTTATTGCTTATACTTTTTCGAGAGACAAGAATAAGAGAACGAATATAAATTATTATTAGCTTGTATAGCAATCATAGATTGACGAATATGCATTGGTTATTCTTGATTTTTTTTCTATTATTGATGTTATTGTATAATTTGCTCCATAAATACTTATAACATAAAAGAACTTATGTCGAGTAATATTGATCAATGCAAAGGATGTTCAGTATGTATCACCCAGTAAATTATTAGAGTTCAAATATATCAATATCAATTTTTTAATAATATATTGGAATACAGAGAAATGATAAAAAAATATATTTCGGCAATAAAAATTTTATAAATATATTGAAAATATTTTTACTACACGCGCGCGCGCGCGCGCACACACACACACACACACACCCACATACACACTATATAAATGCAAAATAATACAGAAAATAAATTTTTAATAAAAATCAACATACCAGCTATTTGTGTATGCATATGTAGCTGCAAGCATGCAACGGATTTATTACTTGATAAATTTATTTACGGACTTATTTTGCATTTATATATATATATAGTGTATGTAATTGTAAAAATGATTAAAATATTTTCAATATTTAAAAATTTTCAAGTTTATCGCCTTATATTTCTATAATTTTTCTATATTCTAATATATTGTAAAAAAATTGATATTGATATATTTAAACTCAAGTTTTTTACGTGATTGAATATTATTGCATTGAGCCATCATACGTTACTCGTAAGTTCTTTTACGTTATAATAGTATTTATGTAGCAGAGAGAAAGAGATAAGAGAGAGATTATACAATACAACTTCAATAATCGAAAAAAATCACGATAACGCTATTGTCATATCTATGTGTGTGCATATATATAAACTTATATATTATATATTTTATAAATAAGTAAAATATTATGCAGACAATGTATACAATATAAAATGTTCAGTTTGTGCTATGCTTCAATCAATAACACTGGTCGACAAAAAATGACTTTTTTCAGGTTCGAAGATTTCCAAAGCGTATTTTTGTAGATTTTTTTCATGCCGATTACAAATTCGGCCGCAAAAATTGCGTATCACGTCACGTTTTTTAGATATCTTGATCTAAAGATGCAAAAAAGGGCATTTTAGATACTTTTCCGTAAAATATATAGCTTTAAATTGGGATGTGATAAAAAGTGCTACGACGGCTCAAAATAAAACTTCTTGTAGTTTATATAAAAAATATATAAAAGGTCGAACCTATAAACAGTTTATTGAAAAAACTAAATTAAAAAATTGAAAATATTTTTTGCACGTTTCCTTATACTACTAATACAAAGTCTTTAGAGGTTCGATAGATAAAATATTTATAAATATTATTTTATTTGTACATAAATATTTAATTATTTATATAGATTTATTTACAAATATATAAATCATAATAATTTGAAACACATTATGTGAAATAATCTACATTTTTGTAAACACACACACACCCACACACACATATGTAAAAGAACAAGAATAGCAATAATTCTTGCCTAACATTATCTTTCAATTATCGTTTCGTGTACGCAATATATGTATTTCGCATTATGCATCTGTAACAAATTATATCGAATGATTTATTATTTGCATATTAATTTGCATATTATCTACCCAGACAGCACCAAGTCTAAAATTGACGCATAAGATAGCAT